ATGCACATTTGATTTCAGTTTCTCAGGGATGATAAACTACGATTTTAAACAAAGTTTTTTTTTTTTTTTTTTCATTTATTGACCCCTCCCCTGCATCACACCTTTTGAAATGTTCTTTTTGAAGGACAGAAGGGTCAGACATTTTCAATGGAGTGAAAGCTTCCACAAATATCTCCTATCTTTCTCTTTGTTCACCTACCACTCTACGTCCCCTTCAAGGACCCTGGGGGACAAAAAAAAAGCCAAGCGCCTTTATATGGTGGGACTCAGTACCGCCATTATTATCATCCATAAAAGCACCGCCACAGTTCAATAGCCATCCAGGCGGCACACCAGCTTCACCCCAAGCAAAACCCAGGTGACAACCTGCAGTCTTAGACAAGATACATCAGCTGTCAATCATCTCCACTCAACCGTATTTAATTAAAAAGGGGATTCAATCATCTACTCGTATTTGCTCAACAGAGTCGCTTGCACAAAAGCACAATTTAGAGGTAAATTTCTAACAAAGGGAATTATAGTAGTTTGACATCAGTATATTCATTCTGATAGCAGAATTGCTTTGAAGCTTGGAGAAATAATGCCTCATCTGGCGGCTTTGTTGACAGGCTTCCTGTGTGGAAATGGCTGATTTGTGTTGCTTGACAGTAGAGCAGGGTTTCTCTCCTGATGTCTGTATTAGTCTCCATAACAGATGGTGCTGAGTTAAGGATCTGCCGTCCTGAGGGTTTGCAGACTTCTCTTGTTCCTGGCCAATAGCGTCAGCTGTGAGCCTGGATTGTGCGACATAGTGACTGATCTTTTCTCCAGATGGAAGAAGCAACATCAGTCATTGGGTTTTGCTGTGGAGAGCATGAACAAACATTGCTTGACAAGAGGTTGGATTTGGTCAATCCGTGACCGGTAGGATTGGTGATTATTTTCACCATCTTTTGATCAGATCTCTTCTGGGATTGGTCAGTTGAGACATCAAGTAGAGGTTGAAGATATACGTCGTCATTACAAATGGACTCAGAATTAACTGGTTTGACCTTTTATTGAAAATATTGAGTTGTTGTTTCAACTTTACGTCTTAAGTCAAGTTTTTTGTTGTGGATAGATTCATGTCGAATTTGGTTGTTTTCATGTTAACACCAAAGTGTGGCGGTTCATTTCTACATCCATTATAGTGGTTGCAAGACAGTGCTGTTTATTTATACAGCACATTTCATACACAATTGTAATTTAAAGTGCTTTACATAAATTACAATATTTAAAAGAAATCAGAATAATTAAAACAGTTTAGAATAACAATAAAATAAACTACAGTACAAGTGGTACAGTGCTCATTCAGTAAATGCACAGCTAAATAGATTTGTTTTGATTCTGGATTTGAATGTGACTTCTGTAGGAGCGCATCTGATCTCTTCTGGAAACTGGTTCTAGCTGTGACTAGCATAGCTAAAAGCAGACTTTCCTTGCTTAGAGTGAACCCTTCGTATTTCTAACTTATGTGATCCTAATGACCCGAGTGATCTGTTGGGTTTATATTCAATGAGCATATCTGCAATATATTGAGGTCCTAGGCAATTTATTGATTATATATCAGTGATAATACTTTAAAATCAATCCTATATGTAACTGGCAGCCAGTGTAAAGACCTGAGGACTGGTGTGATATGTTCACTCTATGAGCTGCAACTGTCTTATGGTCTTTTTGGGAAGGGCAGTGAGGAGCCCATTACAATAATCCACCCTGCTGGTGATGAAAGCATGCAAGTTTCTCTAAGTCTTGACTGGAAACAAAACATCTAATTCTTGCATTGAATTATTGCTTGGTAGAGACACACAAAGACTCCTGACTTGATTTGTAGTTGTGTGACCACTAGAGTGAAGGTATGCACTCACCTTGAGAACTTCATCTTTATTTCCAAATGCAATGACGTCAGTTTTGTCTTTGTTTAACTGAAGACAGTTTTGGCACATCCAACTGTTTACTTCATCAATGCATTGGCACAGGGAGTCAGTAGGGTTGTAGTTGTTAGGCGATAGGGCTAAGTAGATCTGTGTGTTGTCTGCATAGCTGTGGTAAGAGATTTGGTTCTTTCTCATCATTTGGCTCATTGGGAGCATGGACACGTTGAATAGGAGTGGCGCAAGAATTGAGCCTTGTGGGTCTCCGCATGTCATAGGTGTCCACTCAGACTTATGGTCTCCTATACTCGCATAATAACCTCTCCCTCCTAAGTATGACCTGAACCATTTTAGGAATATTCCAAAAAGCCCCACTTAGTTTTCCAGCCTGTCAAGATGTTGTGATCGACAGTGTCAAATGCAGCCCTGAGGTCGAGTAGTACTAGCAATTATAATTTGCCTGTCAGTATTTAAGCGAATTTTGTTTATTATCTATTTGGGCGCTGTCTCAGTGCTGTGATGTGATCGGAAACCAGCTTGAAAATTGTCAAAGTATCCATTTGCGCTTAAGAATTTGCTCAGTTTAAACCTTTTTCTCTAATTTTAAACTTCTGCAATTGATTTAGCCTGAATAATTAACCATACAAACTGTATTAAAACTTTTGTTCTTCATATGAGATATCTGTTCTCAATTCTGTAAATTAAATAAAAACTGATATAATATCAAATATAAATATTATACCACGGTTTCACACACAATTAAGGCATCATCCTAGTCACAGACTAAAATGCATCTTTGAGCTGTTTTAATTGAAAGCAACTTGTACTGACATATCTTAAAATGTTCCATTGTTCCATTTGCCTCAAAATTCACACTCAATTTTTTTTTTTCTAAGGCACTTTTATAAAATTGAACTAAGGCCTAATTCTGGATTAATCTGCCTGTCTGTGAAACCTGGCCTTTATTTAATAAATAAAAATAATGCTCTGTTTTCACTTTTGCATTAGTTTGCAGATCATTTTATTGTTTGGTATTTCAAAAATGTTATGATAGAAGTTATTCCATACTGATCACATTTTATTTAGAACCAAATCCGAGACTGTAGGCATAGACCCATTCTAGTTCCCCACGAAGTGACATTTCTTTGTAATTCGTTTCAAACTGGTCGCTCTAAAATTGGTCACACAATCATTTGAAGAAACAGTTCCTCCATAAGTAATGCACTGGGTTACTATTTAAGTCTTGTGCCAGCTGTAGTGGGGGTGGAGGTTGGAGAAGCATTACCTGAGAGAGGTTAGGAATCATCCTCTCCACTCATGCAGAGCACGCTTTTAATTAGATTACCCAGGCACCCATGCACAGCCGTGAGGGATTGGACACACTCTGGCAGGTCATTTTGCCTCAATGCTGGGCTGGACTGCTTGTCCGCTCTCTTGAATCGCTGGATTTGCTTGAAAAGCTAGAAGGAAACTCAAACAACTTTCTTTTTTTTTTTTTTTTTTTCTGTAACGGTGGCACACCGTTTTTGAACAGGGATAGGGAATTGAAATCTTTTCTGTCTACTCCGTCCATATGAAAGAACATTGTTTAGAATTTATATAGAAAAAAAATGTCCAGACAATAACTATCTTATATGTGGCTTGTAGATGACAATGTTAAATGTCTGGTAGAATTAGGCAAAATCACATCTTTGTTTTCCTTATGTATACATTTCTCTTTATTATGAGATGTTAAGTCATTATTACGAGAAAGTTTCTCATTATTATGAGATACTAAGTCATTATTATGAGAAACTTCCTAAATATAATGTGAAACTAAGTCATAATAATGAGAAAGTTTCTCATTATTATGACTTACAGAATTATATTGTTTTTACTCAACTGTGGCAGAAACGGGCTTCCATATCTCACAAATGTTATGTGTTCTTCTGAGAAACTGTTTTTCTAAATGTTCCCCATAGAAACTTTTTTTGGGGGGAGTTTCTCAGGACAACACATAACATTTGAGAGAGAATGCAAACGCATCGACTTATTATTATTTATTTTTTTGTAGGTTCAATGAATACCTCCTTTTTACACAGTGCATTTTGCAAGTAAACAACACAGATTAGATTTGAATACAAAATATTTGTTGTGCACATATAACATCTCTCAGCATGAAGCATACCAGACACTGTTGATTTAGTGTGTATTCTTCATATTAGGAAGTACAAATATACCAGGGTGTTCTTGTTTTTCTTTTTCTGCTGTCAAAATCAGAACTGTTGTAAAAGATTTAACCTCTTTCACCTGAAAAAGTAGTATAATGAGGGATTTTTAAATTTTTTTTTGCATAGAAGAGGAATAATCTGTCCCAGTTTTTTGTTTGGGTTAAGGATATTGTTGTGATCAATGTCTGCAAATTCATCATAGAGTATAAAGGGGAAAAATGCAGTTAAATGATTTATAGTCTCCGGAGGCTCTTGGCTTACTTTTACACTTCAATTAATTTTGTTTTGAAGATTGCGAGAATGGGCAGGCCTGCTGTGTTTCTCCCATAAAATCACTGAGTGAGCTTTGGCATGCTGATGGGCTTGAGAGCTCTCAAAGTTTTCAAGTTACAAGATAACAATGTATTCCTCTTTGTGCCTTCCACGTGCCGTGACGGGTAAGAAATAAGCGAAGCCGAGCTGCCAGAGCACCTTAGCAGCGCTTCATTTCTCACTCTCATGTTTAACCGTCTGTTGCTAATTTACTTTCTCTCCAGGCAATCTTTTTTTAATAGTGCATCCGTTTGTTCAGGAGACAATTGATTCTCTGCACCGCCATATTCATCAGTTACATTAACTGAAGCTTGTCCGGAATATGAATTATGGAGGCCCTCTCTCCAGTTCTGGCCCACATTTCTAGCTGCAGCTTCATGTCAATAGACCATGTAAATACCTTTGAGGAAAACAAATGTTAACCTAAAGTCAACAATGTGCTAATTACGCTAATGATAATGAGTCTTGCACATATTCATCAACGCTTTAAGTGTCGCCTTGTTGTTGAGTTGTGAAGGCGTGCCTTTGCAAAAATACTACATGCATTTATTGATGTTCGTTTCCTGTTGTGTCTGCTTCGACACAGGGACTTTGACAGCTTGTCCGATCTCACAGAAGAGTCCAAGGTCAAGTACATCGCTCAGCAGTGGACGGAGCTTGGATTAAAAGACGTTCGGGTTACTAATCATACGGCTCTTCTGAGCTATCCCGGACCCGTCCTCAGCACAATCGTGGAGAAGTTTGGAAACCATTGTTACCTGCCCAGCGGAGCGAGGTGTGGACAGCCATCAACATCCACGACTGAACCCTTTGCCTATGCAGCCTACTCTGCTGTGGGAAGTCTAGTGGTGAGTTACATTGTACCCTCAAGAGATAAATACCACACTATTGTACTAGAAATATCATTGTGGCGAATAGGACGGCTGAAAGATGTGAGAGAATGGTGCGAGGATTGTGGTGCCATTGCTAATGAGCAACGCTTGTGAGCAAACCGGTCTCGCATTTCTCACGGAAGAGTGGAAGCATAAAGGGGAATTAAGCATAAAGCATCGCCGTTGGGATCACAGCATATGGACCCAGCTGTTGTGAACTTATTTCTTCTAAAGTGTAGGAAACTCAGAAGCAAAGACTAGGAGACTCGGTGTATATTTTATGCAGGTTTCTTTATTGATGTTGCATTGCTGTAGTCTGCTTCGTCCAAAAGTCTTAGCCTTGTCTGACTTAACTAAAATAGAGACTGTTCATATACCTTACAAGGGGGGAGGGGTTACATTGAGGTGGAGACACTCTGAAACAAAGCATGTAAATGAAGTATAGAGGTTTAGAAACCTGGCCTTGACTGAGAGTGCCTAATCCAATCAGCATAACTATTCAAACTGAGCCAGGGGCTCCCAGAACCATGGCGATTTGAATGCATAGAAACTAATCTAATCATCAGCCAGACTATTCGATAACAAAAGGTGTCTATATATATACAGGTATATATATATATATATGAAGAGCTCTTTTCCAAAACGCGTTAAACGACATTTTTAAAAAAAATGAGTTTGTCGTGTCATTCTGCTGTGGACAGAACCCTTTCACTGCTCCATCAACGTTTCATGCCGAATCGCTATATTTCCTTGTTTAAAATGTACTGCAAGATACAGTTTCTTTCCAAGCCGCGATAAGCGCCAGCCCTGTTTTTAGCCTAAACACGATAAATCCTCAAATTCAATGAGCGCTCTACACAATCCAGCACGGCGGCACTCTGAACAGAGGTTTATTATGTTCATTCATTCCTCAAAATGAGTCCTAGTTTTCTAGTCGACTAGTAGTAGATCATTTAAGCCATTTGTATTATCAGTAATCACATATATTGATTTAATTAAATGGGAGAGAAACCATATGAGCGTTTTTAATTGCATATTCCGCATCTCAACGTAGCCTATGCATAAAGCTTGCCACAAAGAACCGGCAAAAGTAATGATTATGCATGAAACATTTGAATTGTTTATTAATAAACTAGTGTTTTCTGTCAGTGTCAGCAGCAAAGATAAAGTTGATGATGCTTACTCGCCATCTTCGCAGTGAACGCGCATAGAGAAACGCATACTTCGAATTAGCCTACATAAGCAGAGAGTTGCCAATTTATTTTAGTTTTTAATTATTTTGTTTAAAAGTAGATATTTAAAGCTTTCTGTAGCTTAGTTCTCAGGCCTGTGTGAGGCAAGCATCGCGGTGTTTCGGTTCATATTATGAGACGCGCTCCGGTTCACCTGCGCGCCTCTGTGTCCTGATTATATTGTCTGATATTTATTTCTAATGTATTAATCCAGTCAATTTGTCGATGAAACATTTATTAAAATGAAGATACAATTTATATGAAACGAAATTTACAAGCTTTCTACAAAACAAAACTTAATAAGTGGTCAAAATCATGTCTGACGCACTCCAAATATTTTCCGATATTGGGCAGCTTTTGAATTTTGATCCTATCTTACTCATCTCATGCGGTTCCCTTTTCATAGCCTACTCAACATAGAGGAAATAATAAAAATAAGTAATGTAATATTATTAAAAACAAATGTGAAATGTTTATTTTGTTTTTTTGTTGTTTTTTTTTACTTGTATTTAAGCGTCATGCTGCTCCGCTTTGCTCACATGTTATGTAGCCTGTGTGTGTGTGCATGTGCTGGAGGGGTGCCCATCCCTTTTTTGAATATCGTTATCATATATTGATCATTTTTAATAATTCGTTTTTTTCATGCATATGTTGAAATTGGTATTAATAATTTGTTTTTTTCATGCATATGTTGAAATTGGTACTATTTGTTTGAGATTTGACTCTTTACTAAAAATGACTTTACTAATAATGATACAAAAAATGGATGGATTTATAGCGTTTTGGAAAAAAAATAAAATTAACTTTTAAATTATCATTAACAATATTGTTGTTTGATTTAATAATTATTGTTCAAAATGTTCAGACTGAACCAATAAAACATTTAAACAGGATAATTTGAATATTCACAAAATGTGTAGGTCTAGGTAAAAAATGTAGTTTTCCTGAAAACTATTGAAATGGATTTATAGCGTTTTGGAAAAGAGCTCTTCATATATATATATTGTGAGAAAGTGAACCTCACTTCTCACTGTTGCGCGCTCCCGCATTGACTGAAGGATTATACGCGAGAGCGGGAGAGACTCTGGACATTTGCATACACATTTGCACACACACACATGCTCCTAGATAAAAATGATGCCGGGCTAATTATATTATTTTGTGAAGGTGTAAGGATCGCTAGTGAACACGGTCGGGAGGGGTGTGTGTAAAGAGAAGGCTGGCGCGAGGCTAGGCGCCGTTAACTCATTCGAGTTGGTGTGTTTGTAACGCGGGTAGTCCGCAATTTCATTCATAAAACTCAAACCTAATTTGTCACTGCTTATAATTTCCTATTTTACCATCTACATGACATATAGTGCGGTACCCACTAGTTCATGTCCCATTTACTCAATGTTTCTGTCTAATATCCTAGTAAATTCATACATATTGTGACTCACGCATTTCCTGCATCCCGGTCCGGTTCAACTGATTCCTATGCGGATGCGCGCGCCGCTGTAGGGGCAGTATTTATCCGTGTCAGGGGTCAGAGGGTGCAGAGCATTGTTCACAGGGGTGTTTGTTTGTAATAATGTTTTGTATGTATGTCGGTGGTGTGAGTAGATGGTATCAATGTGGTATAAAATGATGGTGATATGATGATTATTATTTTATTTACATGTAATGTTTATTTACTATTTAGATTAGAGCTTATTTGTGGCCTTAAGCTTAATGTTATACCCTGATTGTTGGTATGGTCCAATTTGGCTTAATGCTTTGGCCTATTTAAGAGAGCCTCATTTTGCCTTTGAGAGAGAGAGGAGTACTAGCTTGTTGTGAGGCTATGTACAAAGTGTTGGCTGTAATATTGGTGAAAGCCAGAGGCATTATGCTGTTTTGATTTTTGATTTTTTTTTTGTTTTCTTGACTTCTGAGTTAAAATCTAAATAAACTTTATTCTGTTTTCTGGAACCAATTGAGTTGTGGTAACCGTCTTTTCCACCTCCACCACCTAAAGTCAGTGAGCCTACACATCCCAGTATTTGGGGTGCCCTCGGTACCCCCACATTTGGTGGCAGCGGTGGGATGGTACGCTGACCGACACTGGCTAATAGAGGAGGAAAACGGTGCCAGTCCAGGGAGAGAATGGCATGCAGGCGGAAAGCCAAAGGTGACCCGAAGGAGGTTGAAGATACCGATGAATGCCCAGATGGCGAGGCTGGGGCCCAAGCATTGGGCGGAGACCAGCAGACAGAGGGTACTGATCTAGCCACCCTACGTCAGCTCCTTGAGAAGACTCTGCAGACACATGAGAGGGAAGCATACAAGCAGGAGCAGCGCTGGAGGAGTGTGCAGATGCAGCTGAACCAGTTGAGGGATGACGTGGAGACAGAAAGGAGGTCCCCACCTACAGCTCCACCGGGGCCTCAACCAGGAGTGCCAGCGCAGCCGGCAGCACCAGCACCGGCTCCAGCGGCCTGGGCCAGATCAGCCATTCCAAGGTACGAGGAAGGGGACGACATTGAACAGTACCTCACTACGTTTGAGAGGCTGGCCACAGCTTACCGCTGGCCTAGAGAGGACTGGGCAGTGGTTCTGGTGCCATACCTCACTGGGAAGGCCCGTAGCGCCTATGTGGCCATGGGTATGGACCAATCGATGGAGTATGACAGGGTGAAGGAGGCAATACTGTACAAGTATGAAATCAATGAGGAGGTGTACCGGAGGAGGTTCCGTGAACCGGATGTCAGACCGGGAGAGACCCCTCGTGAGCTGTACACCCGCCTCAAGGATTTATTTCAAAAGTGGATTAGGCCGGCAAATAAGTCGGTCGAAGAGATCGCTGAGATACTTATAATGGAACAGTACCTCCTCACTCTGACACCAGACATTCGAGTGTGGGTGAAGGAGCACAATCCCCAAAATGGTCAGAAGGCGGCTGAACTGGTGGAGAACTTCATGGCGGCCCGACAGACCCACAAACACTTCCGTCTGGAGTCACAGACAAGATCGGTAGCCCGTGGGAGGTCTGAGGGCTTTGGTCCGGGGAGTGGTGCAAAAGTTAGTGAGCCCAGTCGAATGCCTGCCCGTAACTATTTTGTTCCAACTAAGCCCAGAGATAGCCTAGATCCAAGAACCGGAGCTCCGGTGGTATGCTATTTTTGTGGTCAAGAAGGACATATAAAGCCTGAATGTCCGAATAGGAAGCCAAAGCACTCCAGCCACAGCTGTATTCCTCGTCCAGAAGAGGACGTAAGGGGAAGGCTACAGACGATGCCGGTTCAAGTGAATGGTAAAGATGCTACTGCCCTACTAGACACAGGAAGTACCCAAACACTTGTGCAGCCCCACTTAGTGGAGAATAGGGACTTTGTGCAGGGTAGGAAGCTGAAGGTTCTGTGTGTCAATGGGGATGCACATGAGTATCCGACAGCCGAAGTACACCTATATATTAGAGGACAGACATACCAGATGATGGTTGGTGTAGTGGAGAGGCTGAGCCATCCTGTTGTAATAGGCCAGGACATTATTGTGCTACCAGAGTTAGTGCAGTCCAGCAGACCAGTGAATATGGTCATTACTCGATCCCAGAGCCAAACACAGGACCCTGAGAAAAGGGAGATAGATGAGACAACTGAACCAAATAGCCTGTTAGAGTTGCCCTTTTTGGAGGGGGAGAATACCCCTCCAGCCAAAACAAGGTGCCGGAAAACCAGAAGACAGCGGAGGCAGGCTAGGCTATTGGGCACCTTGGAGAGAAATGAAGAACGACAACTTACTCAGCCAGTGGATGATTGGGGTGAGGTCCCAGATAATTTTGGGCAGCTGCAGAGAGAGGACCCAACTTTGCAGAAAGCATATGACAGGGTCACACAAATAGATGGTATGTCCACTGGGATGCCT